CAGCGTTTAAAAATGATATAATTTTACTTACGATAAATTACAAAAGAAAATTCTAGATAATCGGTTAATCTTTCAATCATATTTATTTTAAGTAACTACCCTTTTTTTTTTTTTTTTTTTTTTTTAACGAGGAGAATCTTTCAAAGACTTCCCGCCGCGGGGGAAAACACGGCGGGGGCGTGTGGGATTTCCACCCACTAAACTCCTCGGCGTTCTCTGCGCTGTGCGTAGGCTAGTGAGCGGGAACGGCAAGTCATACTTCCGCTCACTACGCACGAGTCCCATGGACTCCGTCTTCGGCAGGGGTCACAGTGGCTTCACCACACTTCCCCTCCGACTCCAGAGCAGCGTGCCGGGAACGCCAAGCACGCCACTCTCACTCCAGCCTATGTTGCCCGGACGCCGGTTCCCCACCGACGCCCGGAGGCTCCTCTCACTGGGGAGGCATTTGGCGAGCGTAGGCCCGCTGCCTTCTACCCAGCCTTCGTCGATTAAGTAACCGATTTTAAGTAACTACCCTTGCTTATATTTACTTTAGAATTATTTCACTAACTCTGAAGCTATATAAAAGGTTGTATTGAATTATGAGTTTAGTAATATCTCTAATGAGACTCTCAGCTTAATTCACAATTCAATCAAGTATTTTCATCGTGACAGTTTACGTAAAATCAAAGTAACATATCGTAATATGATGTCCAAATAAGCACTACGATTTGCTGTATTTGATTTCGGTAAAGACACACGAGACAAACAACTGATACCCAAAAAGTTTTAAGAATGTACTGTCAATACTTATAGCATTCTGTTAATGGTATGTCTTAGTTTTTACTTAGAGTAGTTAATATAGCAGTACCAAACTTCATACATATCTTTTTTCAAAATTGCATGAAAACTAATTAAAAATCAAATATCATTAAACACTCATTCTTAACAAATACTTTCATTATGAACGTATTGTTGTATGTCAAGTACACAATTCCTCTATTCAACGTACGACCTAAAGGAACTTGCTTTCAGTCTCAAACCTCACAGAAGATAGTTAACGAGAGCCTGACTTTGTTGTTCGACTAACAAATTAACTTCAACAGAATTAGAGCGTAACTCTAAGACGGATAATTGGTTGGTAAGTTGGAACATATTAATATACTGTATATTTACTTTACACGAAGCGAGGTTGGTTTGGTTATGTTTGTTTTACGTAAAAGATATAAAGTTTATGTTAGGTTGTTTGATAAAAAAAATGAGTAACTAAACTACAAATCTCCAATTCAATGATAGAACGCTGAATGAAGAGATGTTAATGAAAGGAAACGGCAAAAAAGCCAAGGCTTATACTGTATGATAATTTCAAAAGTGTGTGAGAGAATTCAGGATTTAAATGTTGAATCGTAGTGACCAAGAACATTTAAATTTCCGAAACAATTAATACACTCTCTATTAATGCAGATATTAGATTATCTTATTTCTTAATATAGATTCACGATACTTGAGCACTACGATGAAGACTAAATAAAAATTCATATTCAATCAATTGTTTCAGTAGAAATGACAGGAGTTATAACATTATATATCATAATTAGTTAGCTGAGAACTTAGTTCAAGTTGGAAGCCATCCAATGTTTCTCCATTATTCAGTCCTATTGAGATATCATGGTCCTCACCGTAGCCCAAATAGCTAGAGGCTAACAACCATTTAGCCCAATGGAGAACAACAGGTGGCTTTGTCTGTAAAGACTATGATTTACGGCTTCTTGATCTCACAGCGAGCATTCATTCTCTATTGTAACTGGCAGGTCAAGTTAGTAATCGTTGGCGATAAGTCAATAATCGATATAGCAACTATATATAACAAGATGTTCAAATTCAAACCTTGTTCTGATGACATCTTTGAAGTATAAAATGATTGATATTTTTAATAATTACGAAATATTTAATCTACATCTATAAAATCAACTTATAATTTAACTAAATGAGAAATGACATTTTATTAATTAAAATAAAATATGTAAACTATTTCTATCAACATTGCTTTATCTATAAATATTAATTTCAAAGGTTGAAAGGTTCTTATTATAAGAATATTCATTGATTTCTTTTTAAAAAAAATACATTTAAGAGAGGTCTTAAATCATCTTTATTTATAACGTCAAAACATAGAGTTCTGGTTACAAACCACCTATTGCATATTTCCAATTGAAGGAAGGAGAGTGAGTTAGTAGTTAAAAGAAAAAAATATTATTCAGTGATAATTTAATACAAATGATCGTTTTGAACCCTACCTATCTATCTGTCTTTAGCTTCTAAATCTGAATCCAGTTTATTTACACCGTATGTATACCATATCAATATCCACAGAGAGACACAGTGAAATATAGCAGCCAATATTCACAATCGTTAATGTAAGATTTATTTATAAGTACGATAATTTAGAAACCTGTAAAAATAATATCTACCTTTTACTGACATTCAATATGGAACATCTAAGAGTTACAATTACTCAAACTTTAAAAACCTATTTATTTTCATTTTAACGTAAATAACGATATATAAAAAAATAATTATTTGTTAAAAAAGCGTGTTTTTATTTAAAAATATTGGAAATTAAAAGATTGAATGTGATCATAAGACAAGTACAAAGTAAGTTGTAATTCAAATTTATATCAAAACATAACAACTTGTGAAAGAAATGATAAAAAATACTTTTTTAAAGGTAAACTTCGCGAGTCGCGTTAAATGCTTTAGGCATGTTTTGAAATGTAGAAAATTACATTACAGCTGGTGATACAGATGGTGCTACCAGCAAGTATGTATGTATGTATGTATAAGATATATAATAAATATGATAAATTAAGTTTCCAGATATTTATTCATTTCCATGTAGAATAACGCGTTAAATAGAATTTTTAATATAATATTTGTAATACCACTTTATAATTAAGAATGAAAAATAATTCAATTAAAAATTTCCTCCAGACTTAAACATTTCCTATCAATCCATAAAGAACACTTAATCTATTTATAGTGTCGTAATACATTAAGTCTTCACTTCTGTCAACACTAAAGCCTTGTTTCTTTTCTGACCTCTTACTGAACTTAAACGACGACCATACTTACATTACGAGAGTAAGCTAATTTTAAATTCCGCTTCAACAAGAGCATTAACGAGTTTTCTCTCGACAGATACAACTTTCTAGACCCTGATAGATTATTTTTATTCTAACTAAATATATTTAAATGAAACAAATATTTTTCGGATTATAGCCGAAACGTCGGGAGTATGTAATTTTTTACAAAAATAAAGTCGCGTAGTATATCCGAAAATATTAGCTTCATTTAAATGAATAAAACTCTTGAAAATGTGAGATAATGTAAATTAATTATAATTATTTTTATAATTAATTTCAAGTAGTTTGGTTTCGATCACCAAGTTTCAAAAGGTATCAAAATGTTTATATGGATGTAACAATGAAATAAGCAATAATTTATTATACTTCCTTGTATAAGTAAGATCATTACAGTATGAAATGAAACAAGACTTCTTTGTAAGTGAATGTTTATAATATTTTACGATATTAATAATAATCACTGTTTTAAAAACACATTATATATCGATGCTGCAAATAATATAAAAAGTGTTTTAATACTGAAATATATTTTTTAAAATAACTAAAAAATCCGGAACTTTTTAAACAAATTTATAAATCACAAAAGTATCCCTGACAATAATTATAACGTTTTAAGATTTTAGGCTATTATTTATTAATTTATACTTACCAAAGGCCTTATTCATAAACTCATACTTATAAAAAGGTATTGACAAAATATGATTCAGTAAAACTAATTCAAGTTACTGATAATTTTAATCAGACTGACAAAAACCTGACTTCACCATACATGGATTGATACTCCATGTCACTCACTGGTTAACCCTCTTTACAACTGAGAAGACTGATGGACAATTTACAACCGATACAAAGCTTATGTGTGATTCAAAGCTATGAGTTTTTTTTAATAACTTACGAAATTAAAAAAATCCCTTCTTTTTTTCATTTAGAATACATTTTTAAAGAAGCAAATAAAAACTCTCTGTTTTCGATTTAAAAATACTGTTATATTACTAATTCATAATTGAAGAGATTCATAAAAATATTTTTGTTTTATGGTATAGATTGCAAAACGAGCATATGGCCTACCTGTTGTGAAGTGATGACGTAGCCCATAAACATGTGCAAAATTGTGTTAATGATACGTTTCCAGCCTTTAAGTCAAAATAATGATGGAAGTATGCTTATGGTCCAATAAATGTCCTATTACAGAGCATTGCTTTTGATATGGACGTTTAAAGATTAAAGACTTCTTCACGACGATTGAACAAATAGCATACTGATAACATTAGACTATCTTACATTTCATTTAATTGTAGCAAAATCTATAATTATGAAAAAAAAATTAAGCTCCATTCGAGTGAATACATCAATATTAAATCAATATAATATTATACAAGGAATATTGAAAGTTTGTTTACAATCTATAAAGAAATAAAAACATTGAATCTCATACGACTAAATTCAGTTTACAAACACGTGCCTCTAGCAGATAACTTGAGTATCAGTATTTAATATACGACCGTCATATTTGAGTTGATAAATATAAGTTAGTTATATGAGTGATAGGGATCTGATGAATTTAATTAAGGTTTGCCTTTAAATGATGTTATCTGAGGTATAAACATAAATATTATAAATATGTATATATCAAGGTCATCTGCTAGAGTTTGTTGAAAGATGTTTAAATTGTGAATGAAATTATATACCGCTATAATGATTGTGAATGAAATTATACACCAACTGACGCATATATTCAGTAAAAATTAAGAATATATGTAATTGTGTATGCTTAAAGAAAGTAACGTATATATAGGGTGGGCCAGAGAAACTTACTTATTTAAAAAAATTACCGCGTGGTGAGTTGGGCGGGTAGAGGGGCAAGAGGGGGCGCATCTGGAGGGGGAAGTTCCCAAGTTTGTTTCTCTCTCCAGTCAGCTGCCATCACGCTCTGGTTTAGAGAGCAGCGGGCCTTCGCAGTTGAGAGCTTCTTTTCTAACGGTCGCTCACTTGTTACTACGCAACGTGCCTTCCGCGCTCGCTTTGAAATTCCTCCTCACAGACTCGTTCCTGGCCGTAATTCGACTCTGTCGTGGTTTAACTCATTTCGGGAGTGAGGAAGTGTCGCTTAACCCAGAAATGGACTTCAACGGACCATCAGAACTCTGGAAAATATCGAAAGAGTGAGGCAGTCAGTTGTGCGTTCTCCCCGGCGTTCGGCTCGCAAACACGCAGCTGCTATGGGAATTTCTGATACCACTATTCGACGAATTCTCCATGAAGACCTTCAATTTCATCCCTATAAATTGGCTGTTGTGCAAGAATTAGCTGAACGCGATTTTGTTGCCCGTCAAAATGCATGTGAAATGCTGATTGACAACCTGCCTGAAGACGCGGTCGTTTTTTTCAGTGACGAGGCTCACTTTCACATTTCCCTGGTTTATGTCGATCGACCACGGACCATAGCACACCTCAAGAACAACATTCGCGACGCCATTACCAACATACCGATTGATATGCTGCGAAGAGTGGATACGAATTTCAAAAATCGACTTCATCAGTATATGCGCAATGGGGGTCACCATTTATCCGATGTCATTTTTAAGACTGCATGAAAAAAAAAATGGGATATTGTATTCTCAAATAAAAAAAAAATAAAAACAATAACTGAAGTACTTTTTTTTTTATTGACCTTTCAAATAAGTAAGTTTCTCTGGCGCACCCTATACGAGTATGTTTGTTTTGTGTATATGACATTATTGAGTAGCAATATTCTACCGTTGAAGTTATGCGAAGGAATTATTTTGTTTAGTAAAATACAAGTTATTTAATAACAATTCTATAACTAACGAATAATATATATTAAACGTGTTAAATTTTAAACATGTTTCGAAGTGTTTTGCAAAATTATGGTAGGTTTAAATGTCACAAATAACGTTTAAAAAGAAGATCATAATAAATAAATATGCTAGATAGCTATTAATATTTCTGACATTTCTTTATCCAACAATTTGTAGCTCTTTCTAAAAAACGAACGAACGAGATAAAGCGTCAGAAACTCTTAAAGCGTTTAAAAATGATTTAATTTTACTGACAATAAAGTATCAAAAGAGAATTCTAGATAATCGCTAAATATTTCAATCATATTTATTTTATGTAACAACCTTTTCTTATATTTATGTATGTACTTTAAAATTATTGCTATAACTCTGAAGCTATATATACATATAAGCTTGTATTAAATTGTGAGTTCAGTAATATTTCTAATGAGAATCTCGGCTCAACTCACAATTCAATCCAGTATTTTCATTCGTGACAGTTAACATCAAACCCAAGTAACAATATCGTAATAAGAAGGAAAAAAGCACTGCTATTTGCAATAATTGATTTCTGTTAAGACATACGAGACAAACAATTGAAACTCAAGAATTTTTTATAATGTATTGTAAACATTTATCGCATTTATTTAACAATACGTCTTGTTTTTTACTGACAAAAGGTTGCTTACTTCATAAAACAAATTACCAAGTTATAGGCTTACACAAAAATTAAACCATTATATTCCTTTTGAAGATACATGGCATGAGGCGCGTAATAGTATACTTTTTTATAACAGGTTGAAAGTAAGTTCTTTTAATTATAGAAAAAGTAAGTTGATGGCTCCGTTTTAACGAATTGATAGTCTTGTAACAGATTGAAAACGGCAATGTAAATTATTCATGGAGGACTTTGCAACGAGTCTCCAAGTTTTATTTATGTATTATAAAAAATATAATATGTAATATAAATTGAACAGTATATGTATTATTCAAACATTTATAGTAAATACGTATAAGGTCTAATTAAGAAATGTTTTCAATTATTTCGCTAATTTCGTCTCAATTAAAGAATGATAATGCCTTGAGCATTTGGAACTTACATCTGACAATGTAATTTTAAATCATTTGATTATATTTTACATGACGTACCTTATATATTTAAAAAAAATATATACTTTGATGAAGGAAGGTGCTAGTTTCAATAAGGTTGCGTTTACGAAAGTATTAAGTAATATTAAAGCTAAATAAAACTATTATTTTGACATACATACATTTAATACAACATCTACAACGTGTAACATAAATAACGCACACCCTGAAAGTAGTTTGATCAGAATCGGATACTGGATCGATTTTGATAGTTTTTTATGTAGGTAATTTTTTTCTCAAGTTTAGATAGAACTAAGTAAATTATAGTCACAGTAAGTAAATTATAGTTATCTAAACACTTCATAGAAACGAAAATTAATGGAAACGAAAATGGATCGTAAGTCAGGGTATTAAGATTTTTAAAATGAAATATTTAATTAGTAATCATCATTCAATTAAAGAAAACTGATACTTATTTCAAGGCTAAAATAGTATTTAAAAATAACTACGCACGCAACACCATAGCGACCACCGGCACACAGCAAGGTCACTACAGTGCATAAAAGAAAGCCGCGTAATACAAAAATTATTACTTTCTCCTTCTTTCTTTGGCTTAATAACATTACAATAGAGCGAGACGGCAGGCTAATTCCGGGAATCAGAGTAATAATAACTAAACATCGAAGTCAACAAAATCTGTTTTGGGTAAGTTAGTCACGCCGCGTCCACCTTATCGAAAAGAGGTCAAGTGTAAAGTGCAAATAAAATCTTAGTCACGTATTTCGCTGTGTCGTTTCGGTACACTAACATTCAATACATCAAATACCTACGCACGTGTCCATTGACCTCCTAGATCAGCTGATTTGACGCGACTCGACTTTTTTTTGTGGGGGCGAATTAAATCGCTAGTTTATAACACAGAGATAACAAGTGCCGAGGAACTAAAAAATAAGATAATAACCGCCTTTGTAAAAGTGAAAAGTGACATTGCAGTATTATCTAAAATAAAACCACAATTGCGAAAACGGTCATTCAAGTGCATTGAACAAGGCGGTGGACATTTTGAAAATGTTTTAAAACGACAACGCCGTGCGAGTGCAAATTAAACTGTAAGTTTGTTTATGATCTTTAAATTATTGTAAATATTTTGATACACACCATTTAAACAGGCCGACTGTGTTTAACTTTGTCGTAGGTATTGTGGTGTCTAATCAAATCACGCGTTATCAGCTGTTTAATAATTCTTATTTACAAATTTAATTTAACAAATCAGTAATTATAAAATATTGGCTTCACATTAAAAAGAAAATTCAATGTCAACAATCTAAAGCTTGAAAAGTGTGATGGAAAGAAGAAACATAAATCATAATGTAGTTATTTCGTGTACTTATTATTACCTACTTCTTATTATTGTCGGACGGCACTCGGAGAGAGGGGCGCGGGCGCGGCGAGTACAGAGTGTCGCTGAATAGCTGACCATATTATTTGCACAAAATTGGGATAACTAATTTCACAAATAAAAAATGCAAACGCACATATAAATATTATTTGGTGTATGCATTGCGTTTATATTATTATATTCGCATTGGGGTATTTGAGGGTGTGCGTTAATTACGTTACACGTTGTATATCTCCTTATAGATATACATATTTATATATTATGAAAAGGTATATACATATAGCAGGACCAACCTTTAAAAAAAATGCATGAAAACGACTAAAAAATCTTATATTACTAAACACTCATTCTTAACAATTACTTTCATTATGAACGTATTGTTGTATGTCGAGTACACAATTCCTCTATTCAACGTACGGACTAAAGGAACTTGCTTTCAGTCACAAACCTCACAGAAGATAGTTAACGAGAGCCTGACTTTGTTGTTCGACTAACAAATTAACTTCAACAGAATTTGATAGAGCGTAACTCTAAGACGGATAATTGGTTGGTAAGTTGGAACATATTAATATACTTTATATTTACTTTATACGAAGCGAGGTTGGTTTGGTTATGTTTGTTTTACGTAAAAGATATAAAGTATAAGTTAGGTTGTTTAATAAAAACTAACTAAATTATATCCCTGCAACTCAATGATAGAAAAGAGAGTTCGACATATTGATGAGAGGAAATAACAAAAAAAAGCCACGTATGTATGTATTATACTGTAATGAAATTTCAAAAATGTGTAAAAAGAATTTAGGATTTAAATGTTCCATCATAGTTAGAAGATTCAAAAGTACGAAACGCTTCATACAGCATCTGTTAATGCAGATAATGGATTATCTTATTTCTTAATATGGATTCACGATATCTAAGTACGACGATGAAGACTCGATGAAAATTCATATTCAATCAAATGCTTCAATAGAAATGACAGGAGTTATTACATTATATATCATAATTACTTAGCTGAGAACTTAGTTCAATTTGGAAGCCATTCAAAGTTTCTTAATTATTCAGTCCTATTGAGATATTACGGTCCACACTGTAGTCCAAATCACTGGAGGCTAACAACCATTTAGCCCAATGGAGAACAACAGGTGGCTTTGTCTGTAAAGACTATGATTTACGGCTCCTTGAACTCACATCGAGCATTCATTCTCTGTTGAAACTGGCAGGTCAAGTTAGTAATCATTGGCGATAAGTCTATAATCTATATACATAGTATCACTATATACACATGTTCCAATTCAAACCTTGTTCTGATGACATCTTTTAAGAATAAAATGATTGGTATTTTGAATTATTATGAAATATTTCACTAAAATATAGATATTCAACTTGTAATGAAACTAAATGAGAAATAACATTTTGTCAATGAAAACATAATAAGTAAACTATTTCTATCAACATCGCTTTGTCTATAAATATTAACTTCAAAGGTTGAAGGGTTCTTATTATAAGAATATTCCTTGATTTCTTTTAAAAAAAATACATTTAAGAGAGGTCTTAAATCATCTTTATTTATAACGTCAAAACACAGAGTTCTGGTTGCAAACCACCTATTGTATATTTCTAATTGAAGGAAGGAGAGTGAGTTAGTAGCTAAAAGAAAAAAAATATTATTGAGTGATAATTTTATACAAATGATACATCTATCGTTTTGAACACTACCTATCTATCTTTCTTTAGTTTCTAAATCTGAATCTAGTTTATTTACACCGTATGTATAGCATATCAATATCCACAGAGAAACACAGTGAAATATAGCAGCCAATATTCATAATCGTTAATGTAAGATTTATTTATAAGTACGATAATTTAGAAACCTGTAAAAA